AAAATGGTTAATAGAGAATTAAAACTCATAACAAATGACGAGACAGCAAGAAAAGACCTAGCTACTATCAGCAGTGGCAAGTCAACAGGTCTGGGTGAATTATATCTCAGGATATTGAAAGAACTGGCTGATGTGAAAAACAAAATTCATCATCTTTCTCCCCAAATCCATTCTTCTTCATAACTTCCCTATTTCTGTGGAGAGCATCACCATCCTTCTAGTCACCCAGGTTTGCAACCTTGGAGTCATCTTATAATCTTCATCTTTCCTCATCTCACACATTCACTTAGACCCTCCTTTCTTTTCACATGACCACTCTAGTTTAGGCCTTCATCACCTTTCTTCTAGACTACTGAAATACCCTCTAGATTGCTCTCTTCCTTCTTCAATTCTTCCTCTATCCAGGTGCCAAAGCAATTTTTCTAAAGCACTGGTCTCTTCTCACCCTGGTCAATAAATTCTAGTTGGTCCCTATTACCCCAAGGATCATAAAATCCTTTGTTTGGCATTTAAAGCCCTTCACAACCTGATCTGAATCTTTCCAGTCTTATATCTATTATTTACTCCCTGTCACAAACTCAATTGTTTAACAGAACTGACTTTCCTGACGTTTCCTGGAAGCAGGCAATCAATTGGTCTGAAATGTAGTCCCTCCTCATTTCTGTCTCAGAATCCCTACTTCTCTCAAAACTCTCCCTCCCCCTCCACCCCATTGCCATGTATTTGTTTTGTATATACTTACGTACAAGTTGTCTCCCAACAGAATGTTGAAGGCAATTTCATTTTTGCTTTTGTACCCTTGGTGTTTGGTAGATACTAGGCATTTATTAAATGCTTATTGACTGCTGGCAGCTAGGTAGTTGCAGTGGATAAGAGCACTGAACCTGGAGTCAGAAAGACCTGAGTTCAAATCCAGCCTCACACTGTGTGATCTTGGGTAAATCACTTATCCTGTCTTCTTCAGTTTTCTCAACTGTAAAAGAGTGATCATAAAAGCAACTAATTCAAAGGTGGTTGTGAAGATCAAATGAAATCTTTGTAAAGTACTTAGCACAGTACTTAACATAACAGGCACTTAGTAAATGCATTTTCTTCACTCTCCAGCCCCTGCCAAAATAATTTCTAAATAACTGGACCCAAAGAACGATAATTTGAAACCAAGTCATATGATAATCAGTTGAAGAACTGGGGATGTTTAACTTTGAGGTAAGAAGTAGGGGAGACACAAAAATCTGCCTTCTAATAGTTGATGGGCTGTCAGTAGAATGACAGCAGGATTTTCTTGATTGGCTCTGAAAGGCAGAACTAGAAGCAGTGTGTGGATACTGCAGAGATGCAAAATTCAGGTCATAAGAAGGAAAAGCTCAACATTTTAGGCAGTTCAAATGTACAATGACCTGATTTTTAAGGTAGCAGGCTCCTCATCTTGGAGGTTTTTCAAAGAGCAACTGGATTACCTATGTCAGAGATATTATAGAATGGATTCCAGCTTACTGTATGGGTTAGATTAGGCAACCCGAGGTCCTTTCTAACTCAGATCCCAGGAATACCACTAGCTTGCCTTTACCGAGAACTTTAAGTTCTGTAAAGCACTTCACATACATGGGTTCATTTGAGCCTCATACCTACCCTGTGAGGTCAATTGTACTTTAATCCCCATTTTACAGATGAAGAAATTGTTTCAGAGAAGTTAAGTGACTTCACCAGGGTGACCTAGCTGAAGTAGAATTTAAACTCCAACTTCAGAATTCTAGTCACACATTTTAGAGCAAAGTTTAGATTTTAGTGAAATCAGAGCTAAATTATCAAGCTAGAGTACAAAATTATAGAACTCAAGAGTTAGAAGGGGCATTAGGGACCATCTAGTCAATACCTTTATTTTTACATACAATTCAAGGCATACAGCTAGTTAACTACAGAGCTAGGAATAGAATCCAGGTCTCTTGATCTCTAGACTAGTGTTCCTCCTATTGACCAGTCTGTTCCTGCCCAAACTGAATTTTACTTTATTTCTGAAACTTGTACATAGATTTTCATTCCACTGTGTCTCATTTCTTGTGGGTTCCAGCACATAAGGCAAAAACTTCTAAATTAAAAAGAAAAAAAAAAAGAAATTCTCAGAGGTTTATTCCAGTCATATGTTGAAGTGATAATTAGTTATTCTTGCAATTATGCTTTTGGTAAAGAAGCCAGGGAGTGGGGGAAGTAGAGGGGTATTTGTGTATTTTTTAATCTTCCTTTTATCCTCACAAGGCTTTCCAGTTAACAGCAACAAGTTAAACTAATGTTTTATGTCCTTGTCAGACTTTAATCCTTGTGATTAATATGAATTTTCTGGGTTTTCCTGAAGTAGCACTCTAAATTTTAAATAAAAATACCAAATTTCAAAAGCTAATCAAATATTTTCTAGCTAAAAAAGTTATGGAACCAAAATTCCCATTATAGTGATATGCTCCCTATAAGAATTTAGTTGTTTCCTCTACTGAGGAATGCCTTTCAATTGCCAAGGAGACCCGGGAATAATTGTGTGCCCCCCCCCCCCAGTCCTGCCCAGAAGCTACTATCCAGGGGAGTTACCACCTACTACCTCAACTAGTACTTTGTCTTGGACACTGCTGAAGGCAGCCTAGGATCCTGTGCCCAAGAGTTAGAGGGATAGCAGTGGCCCCCCCCCCACCCCAACTTAAGTCCAGGGCACTTTGTGAGGAACACACCTGGCAACTGCTCCAGCCTCTGCCTACTAAGCAACCACAGCTATTAAAAGCCCTCAAAGGAAGGTTTCAACATCAAAGTTTTTGGCACTAATAAAATTTTATCAATGGCCATAATGCTAAAGATACACTACCATCTGCTTTGCTACTATACCATTAAGATCCCTGGGCTACTGCATCTGATCTGCAGTAGAAGTGTCTCGTATATGTCATTTTCTCCATTAGAATGTGAGCTCCTTGAGGGTAGGGGCAGTCTTGCTTTTTTTTTACTTGTATCCCTACGGCTTAACACTCTTTCATTCATTCACTGAACTATTCTGTATTTATGTTACATGGAACTGTTTCCCTCTAAACTAAAGCTAGTATTAGCTTTTAAACCAATATACTATGTAGTTTTAAAATCATTAAGAAATGAAGACCACAGCTTGTAAATTTTCTAGATGAAACTGAAGGGGCAGAAACAATTAAATACTCACCAAAGCTACGGCCAATATATAACCCAAGTGTGAGGGAAAAACACAAGCGAAGCACTACTTTCTGTAATATGTATCAAACCAGTTTTTCTTGTCTAGTAAGTCAATTACCTTAAGTTCTCACAGTTCACCTTAAAAGCAAGCAGGAAAACACCCTAGAATTCAACATAACTTAAAACTTTAGGGATATTTTAAGGTATGAAAATTCCAAACTAGAAGTTTCCATAGAAATGTCTCCCAACAAGATACTAGCAAACAAATATCTCATATGTACATGTTCAGATTTCTTCCATACTTTCAAATTGGGAAGAGAAAATCTACTGAAGCATTCTATATAGCAGCTACCACCCCTATTTTGGGTGAAATGATTTGACTTTAGAGACAACACTATTCACTAAGAGAAAATTCTTATATGAAAAACAACAAATTAGAGCTCTTTTGACTGAATTAATATATAAAATGGTAAATACTCTACCTTGCTTCCTGGAATATCATTAAAAGCAGTTCTGCTAACTTACTATGAAGAACATTAAAGGTTGTTCTGCAAATATTCTAGCTTGCTGTGAAGATCATTAAAAGTCACTTTGCAAATAGTAAAATGTTGGGAGAAAGTGTTTGCGGTGGGGGGAAAGATTTTAAAAACTTGTATTCCTACTCTTACTCTGAAGAACCTGGGCAGAGCCACATTAAGAAAGCAGATTAACTAATTTCTTCTGAGGAGGGCAGTTTTTTGGTCTAGTCAGTCCCCTACCTTTGAATAGGATGGATTTCTTAGAAAGCAAAGAGATTAAGAAAAATGACAGGCAACAAGTATTTGTGTTTTGTGGGTGAAAAATGGGGAGGAAGTAAGATCTGGGAAACACCACCTCAGAAGAGGATTGCAAGTATTCTCCTGAGGCTTGTATGTTTCCCACAAAACAACAAAATCCTTCTTCCTTGAGAAGCCTGGAACCCAAAGGACCCAGCAAAGTTTTCCTTTAACTATGTCTGCTTGCTTTTCACGTTTCTCTTTCTCTTAACTCTAGTGCCTTCTCTCTGAGATTATTTTCAATTGATGTTGTATTCAATTGATCATATTTACACACAGCTGCTTGCATGCTGTTTTCTTCCTCAGACTATACGCTCCTTGAAAGCTAGAATTGCTTTTTGGCTTTCTTTATTCCCAGTGCTTAGCACAGGACCTGGCACACAGTAGGTTCTTAACAAATGTTTTATTGACTGACGACTGAGTTTTCCACCCACTCCGCCCCCCCCCGCCCCAGCCCCATTAATTCTCGCCAACTCAGTGGAATCTAGGTCAGCGGGGGACGGGACGAGGACACGCGTGAAACCTAAGGCTTGACAAGCCCCAGGGAGAAGCCTGGTCTACCCCACACACCTCCTCCTCACCTCTTCCCCCCCCCCCCGGCCTTCCCAGGGGACTCGGGCAATACCCGGAGGTGGGAGATGCCCTGGTTCCCACGCCGCACCCCGCCCCCTTGATATGTTTCCACCACCACGTGCTGGCCATCCCGCAGCCCTAGATGGTGGGGAGTTGGGGGGTGGGCGGAGATGGCTTCCAAGCTGCGGCCGGGCAGAGAGCTTGGTCTCGGCCGAAGCTACCCCCCTGCCCCCGGCGCAGCCGCAGAAGCAAACTTTTCCCAGGCTGTTTCTTCCTGGGGAAGGGGGCGGCTCCAGGGAGCCGTTAACGGCCCTTGGAGCAGGTGAGGGGAGAGCCGAGAGGGCGGAGGGGGCCCCGTCGGGGGGCTGCTGCGGGCCGCCGCGCACCCAACCCCGTCCGCTTCCACACAAAGCCGCCGCCGCGTTCCGCTCTCACCAGATCCTTTGTGTTTTCCATCAGGGCCTCATGGGCAGAGGCGGGCTGTGCTCCCCAGGTCCACCGAGCCCCCTCACCGCGGCGGGGGCTGGCGCCTCTCCCTGGGGCAGCAGCTGCAGGAGGGCTCCCGCCTCAACCCAGACTCGTCGTGGCAGCTCCGGTGACCCCAAGATTTTACCCCTACCTCTTTTAACTCGGGTGGCCCCAAGATATCAACAACATTAACATAGCCCTCCCTGCCGAGCGCGCCTGCGCCGTGACCCGTGGCCCGATTGGCCCACTTCCCCCTTGCCCTCCCTCCCTTCCCGTACTAGACCCTAGACACCCCCCCCCCCCCCCCCCCCGTACTCTCCCGGCGCTACCAACCTGGAGGAGGTTGGAGAGTCGCTAAGCTGGGGTTAAGCCGAGCAACCAAATCACGCCGAGCGTTGGGCACGTGGACATTAAAACACGTTTACCCATTTCTTTTTCGTCCAGTTCTCTGTTTTGTAGCTTGGATTCGTAGGGTGCGTCAATCAAAACCATTTCGACATTGTTCCCCCTACGTCCGTTGGGATGAAGTCGTACTAAGGGAGTGTCACGTGGGGAGGGGCTCGCGAGGGGAGGGGGAGGTTACGTAGGGAAAGAGTGTTGGGTCACGTGCGAAGGGACCAAGCACATCCCATCAGCCTCCGCGCGGCGGAAATAGAGGCTATGCTGAGCTTGCGTATTGAAGTGTCTTCTCTCTCTCTTTGAGAGTCCCCGGCTGAGCCATGCCGCCGGATAGGAGTGTGGTGTCCAAGCGCGGCCGTGGCTGGAACCGGGGAGGGAGCCTGCGCCGGGGTCGGGGCGGGGGCCGGGGCCGGGGTCGTGGTCGGAGTCGAGAGGTCGCTAAATCAGCTCACTCGGTCCGGAAAAAGATCTTTCCCCGGCCAGATGGCGGGCCTGGCCCCAGCTCCTCGGTGGACGAGCAGGAGCGGCTCCAGCAATTGCACCGCCTGGCCCTGGGCGCCGACAAGCCGGAGGTGGAGCGGTGCCTGGAGGAGCTGGTGTTCGGCGATGACGCCGTGGACGAGGAGGACCTGTTGCTGGGGCGGCTGCGGGGCCCCAGGGTGAGCGAGCCCCACCGGGTGAGTCAGGGAGGCTGGCCCCCCTCCGTGGGGGGACGGAGTGGATGTCCCTGCAGTGGCCACATTTCCCTCCGGTCCCCAACCCCATCCCTTGGTGGACATGATGAACTTCACGCGGCGCTCGTATTTTGCCGCAGCCTCGGGTCACTCCCACCATCAGCCTTCGATTTCCACACGCGTTCTGCCGAAGGAAGCTAGAGAAAATCAGGAAACTTTGCACTCTGAGTCCAACACCAGTTTGTTACAAATTCTTCCCCGGGCAGTTTCTGGATCAAGGCAATCTTTTTACAGATGCTTCATGGCCTTCCCAAACCTTTTCATCTTTCCTCAAGCCTCCCATGACTCTTCCTCCTCCTTCCACCCTGGAAGTGGAGGGCCTTGCTTTGCAGAAAACTTTCTCTTTTCCCCACTGCCTCATTTCCAATCTCTCGGATGCGGATGTCTGCGCCCATTATCTCCTTCTTCATCTTTTTTTCGCTAAAAGCCCTTGACCAAGAAGCCTCCTCTATTTGCAACCTCAATTGCCTTTTACAGCAATTGCCTCTTCTATTTCCTTCTATTATCCCCACTCTCACTAATCTTCAGTCTTTCCTAATGTAATGTGCTGCTGTTTAGAAACAAGACCATGTTTCCCTCTTCCTTAAAACCCTTAGTTGCTCGGACCATCTCTGCTACTTATATTGCATTCCTAGTTAAAACTTGAGAAAGTGGTTTATAATAGTCTATAATATGTGCTTCCACTTTGTGTTCTCTCTTCTCCCCCAAGTCTGGCTTTGAACCTCTTCGTTCAGCTGAAACTGCTCTCTCCAAAGTTACCAATGTTCTCTGAATTGCTTAATCTAATCTCTTTTTCTTAATCCTTATTGAACTCTATGGGCTTTGAACCTGCTGATCACCCTGTTCTGGATATCCACTGCTCTCTAGATTTTTTACATTTATCTCACCTGATTCTCTTCCTACCTGACACTGTTTAGCACAGTGCCAAGCTCTTAGTTTGCCAAACCCTGCTCCCTACTATTTCACTTGGTGATCTAGTTATCTTCTCTATAAAGATATTCTCAGATCTGTTTATCCAGCCCAAACCTTGACCTCCAGCCTCACAACATTGACTTCCTATGGGATATCTCCAACTGGATGTCCTATAGACATCTCATACTTGAAACAGAATTTACTACCTTTCTTCCAAAATTCTTCCCTCTTTCAAATCTTCCACTTACTGCCAAAGGTACCACTGTTTTCCTAATAACCCAGTTTTGCAAACTTGGTGTCATCTTCAACTCCTGCATCTTACCCTATGTATCCAGTCTGTTGCAAAGACTAGACATTTCAACCTTCACAGCATATCTTGCATATGTTTCCTTCTTGACAGTCACTCAGCTGCCACAGGCTCTAATCTTCTCATTTCAGTAGCTTACTGGTTGGTCTCCCTGTCTCAAGTCTACTACAATCCATTCTCCACTCAGTTGCTAAATTGATTTTCCCAGAGAGCAGGTTTAGATTCTTACACCCCCATCTCCTACTCAGTAAACTTCAATGACTTACTATACATCTAGGATCAAACAAAAAGTTGATGGTAAGGATGAGTTAAATTCCACAAGAGTTAATGTCACAGCTGCTTATAAGATAACCATGGGTTGTGAGATTTGCCCTCAAAGAGCTTTTGTTCTGTTTAGGAGAGGAAATGTGAAGCCCCTATTCCCCTGTATTCGTTTTCCGTGCTGTTATGCATATATTTGTATATGTGTTGTCTTCCCCATTAGAACTTAAGTTCTTTGAAGAATAAATGCTTAATAAATAGGTATTTGTTGATTGGTAATTATCCTCTAGAAAGTAGCACTGTGCAGTGGAAAGATTGGCAGTCAGGAAACCTGGGGTCGAGCCCTGATAGAAAGTATTTTCTAAGTATTTTACATAACTCATTTTTCTGAGGTAGAATGTAAGCTCTTTGAGGAGTGGGACTGTTTCATTTTTATTTTTGTATCCCCAGCAAGTAGCACATAATATTGCTCTTAAAATGCTTGTTCAGATGAACTCTGCCACTTTTGGTTAAGGCACTTGACAACTGGGCAGGTCAGATTTCTTCTTCTGGCTAATGGGAGGGTGAGACACTAATAGTCTGTGATTTTTTTGCTGAACTGTGATAGATTCTACCTGTAATAGGAGTTTGGAAAAAGATCTGTGTACTTTTGTAGTCTAGAAGAGTGATTTCAAAGTGCAGGCCTAGAGTTATTCCAACGAGCACCAGGCTTGACCCCAAGGGGTAGGTAGTCAGCCAGTCAGAGGGTGAGAAGAGGGATTGAATCCTTCCTTCCCTCCAGTAGTCAATAGTGACTTGGCTGCAACACAACTGTGCTACTTCCCTCACTACTCCCCCTTCTCTGCTTCTTCCCTTCATTGGGGATTATAATTTAACCTAAGCTAGGCCCCATCAGCTTCTGAAGCTGTGTAACCAGATATCTCCCCTTACCCCTCTTCATTTTTTGCTGGGAGAGTGAGTAACATAGGAGGAAAGGCATGGATAATTTGCCATTATATTATCTTTCCCCCCAAAAATTATCCTTCTTCTAAATTTACATCTTCCAGACTCCCAGATTCTCAACTTCTTCCTTATGCTTGATTCCTCACTGAGTTGAAATTGTTCTCTTCAGTGATACCTTAATTGCCAAACCATTTTCTTTTCTCAGTCATCATCTTTCTTGATTGGTAGATTTGATATTATTGAACACCTTTTGTTCCTGAATACTTGGTCATTTTTGTATTGTTATTGTTAATCCCTTGATTCTCTCAATTTTCTGGTCACTCTTCAGTTCCCTTGATGGATTATTATCCATATCTTGTCTTCTAACTTGAGTGTCCCCCGTAGTTCTGTCCTGGATCCTCTTCTCTCTGTATGCAGTCTCTCCCATGGGTTTGGTTATCATTTTTATGCCAGTGACTCCCAGATCTATACACTAATAATTTCTTTGCTGTATGCCAGGCCCATTTCAGTACCTGCTTATTAAGACATTTTGAACTGGAAGTCCCGCGAGCATCTCAAACTCAACATGTCCAAAATAATCCATTACTTTTCCCCCCAAATCTATCTATCTTCTGAACTTCTCTTTCTTTTTATTTTCCCCACCTTTTTTTTTATTGTCATCCATCTTCTTAACTTTTCTTTCTCTTTTTTTTGTAAAGCAGTCAGGGTTAAGTGACTTGCCCATAGGCATACAGCTAGTAAGCATCAAGTGTCTGAGGCTGGATTTGAACTCAGGTCCTCCTGACTCCAAGGCTAGAGTTCTATCCACTGTGCCACCTAGCTGCCCCTGTCTTCTCAACTTCTCATTCCTTCTCTCAATTTAACCAAACGGTTGTTAAATCTTGTTGTTGCTACCTCCATAAAATCTCTTGAATCTGTTCTCTTTACTCAAAACAGCTTCTATCCTATTTCAGAGTTGTACCATCTCCCTCGTAGACAGTTGCAATAACCTTCTGATTGGTCTCCCTCAAATTTCTTCCCCTCTCCAATCTATCTTCTACACAAATGCCAAAGTGTGAGTCTGAATATGACATTTCCCTACTCAGTAAACTCTAGTGGCTTCCTATTAACACTAGGATCAAATATTATTTCATCTTTATTTCTTCCTTATTTAAGTTCTCTTTTAGTTTAAGTTTTGTGAGGTACATAGTTATTAGTACAGTGGTACATGTATAAATTATAAACAAGTTAATATACATAATAGAAATGCATTGCAATTTTTTTTTATTGTCAGGGGTGTTTGATCAAAATGTTTGGTGACCATTGGTCTAAAAGGTTTTCTGGAGGAGGGAGTTCAGAATATCTTGTGGAAGGAAGCACAAGGTGTGGAGGTGGGAGAGCAGCAGGTTTGTGGAAAGATCATGGCATATGGTAGGTCCGGTGAGGACTTCAGCCAGAGGGTGGTGTTGGGGTTTAGGAGGAAATATAATTGGATAGATAAAATAAAGCCAGATAATGAAATTTCATTAAGACCTGGCAGAGGAGTTTGGAAATTTGTTTCAGGCTCTTAAATAGGAGAAATTGACATGATTAAATTGGCTGTGATCTGCAGAATCACAGGGCAGAGACTGGTAGCAGGATGTCTGGGAAACCAGTTAAGAGACTAGCACTAAACCTGGCATGAGGTAGTCTACACTAGTGGCAGTGGGAATGGAGAATAGCCCAGTAGGAGATGTGTGTTTCCAAGGAAA